TCTATCTATCTATCTATCTATCTATCTATCTATCTATCTATCTATCTATCTATCTATCTATCTATCTATCCCAACCAACCAACCAACCAACCAACCAACCAACCAACCAACCAACCAACCAACCAACCAACCAACCATAAAATTCCTGGTCTTCACCTGGAAAGGGTAGTGCTTGATGGTCAGATACTCTGCCAAGATGTCCAACATTCTCACCATCTGGGAGAAAATGAGGACTCGGTTGCCCCTCTCTCGCAGCCTGCTGAGCAGTTTGTCCAGAAGAATGAGTTTTCCACTGCTCCTGATTAAAGACTAAAAAGACAAAGTGACTATGAGGTGGTGGTTCAAAACCTGATGGAGCAAAGTTGACTGAGCAACTGAGTATCATGATGGATTTAGTGGATTAACAGAAGTAACAATGACAATGAATACAAGGAGGGTGCTCCGTGTTCTAATTCATCTTGTCCATGAGCTCAGTAGGTTGTCTTAGGCAAGTTACTTTTTCAGAACCTGTTTCCTTGCAGTAACAATGTCTTATAGACCGTCTTCCACAACTTGCCACCCTCCAAATGAGTGGTTATGTTGGTTGGAGAGAACGGAAGTCCTGGTTCAATATGTCTGATGTGCTCAAGTAAGAGAAAGCTGACTTTCAGGCTAGATCTCAAGCTCCTGTGAGATCACTTGAAGCCTTTGAGATATTTGGAAGCCTTATACAATGTTAGAGCTTCTTAACCTGTTCCTCCACTTTACCTCAACTCTTCTCCAGAATGTCATGCTTAGCCACACAACCAGCCAACAATATTATGAGTTCCATCACTGAGTAAATCCTTAATTTCTTTGTTGAGGTTCAGGCTTTAGCAATACACAAGTTGAAAAGATTCACAAAATGGTCTCAAAATAGCAGCAGGAGGTTTGCACCTTCGGACTTGCGAGATTCTGGAAATGTAGCCTTCCAATAACGCAGAATTAGCTCATCTAGTTAGGTTTCCTGCCTGGTTGACCTGGAAGGGCTGACATTACCAGAAGTCTTCCCCCAAGCTCTACCTACCTGCAGCCTCTCCTGGTTGTTTTCTCTCTCGTTTTCTTCCGGAGGTTTGATCAGGTAACAGTGATTGCAACATTTCTTCAGCTCCATCACGATGTTCAGGAAGCCGGACGTACTGCCACGTGTTCCCTTGGACAGGGCTTTGTAATTCCTTGTTAAAATCCATCTGAAGGGTCAGCAGATAACAATATTAGATTCAGCCCCTTTGGCGGCTCCAAAAAAAGCAAGCCAGCACATGCAGAACATAGAACAACAGAGTTGGAAGGGACCTTGGAGGTCTTCTAGTCCAGCCTCCTGCTCGAACAGGAGACCCTATGAAATACACATGCTGAGTATTCCTGGCCCACCACCAGAAGAACTCTTACTTGTAATACTGCTTCTGGAGGGCAGACATCTCCACCCGCAGGATCTGCTCCACTTTGGCGGGGAGGGATTTCTCCACGTCCTTCTTCACCCTGCGCAGGAGAAACGGCTCCAGGACTTTATGCAGGCCCTGGTACCCGTTCTCGCGTCCTTTGCCATGGT